TCTGACATGAGTATTTCGAGGAGTTACAAACGGAATGACAAAATTAATATACCCTCCATAGTATGGTGGAGGGTATAAAAATTATCGAACAAAAGAAAAACCTTAAAGTTGACCAGATCTTCTTTAGATATAAAAAGATGGTCTGAGACAGATAGAAATCCTTTTCAGGCTTTCAAGAGATCTTTTAAGGGTTGAATACGATTCCCACGACTTCAATAGATAGGAGACATTCACAGGTCTTCTGTATGTAGAATCCACAGAACCTTTATATAATGAAGACCCTTTGCAAGTCTTCTACCGGTAAAATAGCTTCGACAGGTCTTCTATAGATGCGATTCTTACCACAAATTTCCTATACACAGAATATCATCGAGGGGGTCTACTACAGATAAAATATTATCCAAATACGTTCCACAGGTCTTCTTTGAAAAACCTTCCACAGATCTTGTGAAAATAGAAGACCTTTCGGAAATATTAAAGTTGACCAGATCTCCTTTAGATATAAAAAGAGTGTCTGCCACAGATAGAAGTCCTTTTTCAGGCTTTCTACAGATCTTTTAAAGGTTGAATACCATTCCCACGACTTCAGTAGATAGGAGACATTCGCAGGACTCCTTTATGTCGATATCATAGATTTTTTATGTAAAGAAGACCTCTGCAAGTCTTCTACAGATAAAGTAGCCTCGACAGGTCTTTTATAGATGCGATTCTTACCACAAATTTTCTATACACAGAATATCATCGAGCGGTCTAATACAGATAAAATACTATCCAAATACGTTCCACTGGTCTTCTTTGGAAAAACACCTTACACAGATCTTATAAAAATAGAAGACCTTTTCGAAATATTAAAGTTGGCCAGATCTCCTTCAGATATAAGAAGATGATCTGCCACAGATGTAAGCCCTTTTTCAGGCTTTCAACAGATCTTTTAAAGGTTTTATACGATTTCCACAACTTCGATAGATAGGAGACATTCGCAGGACTTCTGTATGTCGAATGCACAAATTTTATTATATAAAGAAGACCCTCTGCAAATCTTCTACAAGAAAAAATAGCTCCCGCAGTTCTTCCATAGATAATATTCTTTCCACAGATTTCCAATCACACAAAATATCCTCAAGGGGTCTACTACAGATAAAATACTATCCAAATACGTTCCACAAGTCTTCTTTGAAAAAAAAAAACACTTTCCGCAGATCGTGTAAAAATAGAAGACCTTTCAGGGGTCGGTCTACTGTTAAAATAACATCTTTCACAGGTCTTCTATCGTATAAAAACTTTCTTCAAAAGGGATAGGAGACTTAAACATGATTTTTCATATATATATAACACGTTCCCCAGGTCTTTTACTTGTAGGACACTATTCATAGGTCTGCTGGGAGATCCAAATGCACAAAATCTTCCACTTGTCCACCATATATGGAATATCTTCCAGAAGTCTTCTATGGTTACAATAAAATAAAAGACAATCCTTCAATAGAAAAGAAACCTTTCTCGAGCCTTCTAAAAATAGAATACCCGCCAAAAGTCCTCTGCATAGAAGATATATCACAGGTAGCCTAAAAAGAAGATCTTCCACAGGCCTTTTAAAATTCAAAAGAATATCATCCTTAAAATTGAAAAAGAATATCATCCTCTAATCTTCTAAAAATAGAATAATTTCCACGTATCTGCTAACAATACAATCCACAAGGTCTTGAAATTAGCTTTCTAAAAATAATATACGATCCAAAGGTCTTCAAAATCATAAGATCTTCCTCAGGTCTCCTTCAAAACGAATATCATCCACAAGTCTTATAAAAAAATAGTAAACTTTACACAGGTCAATTATAGAAGACCTTCTCAGGGCTTCAAAAATTGAATACCATCCACAAGAATTCTTTATATAGAAGACCTTCTACATGTATTCTTCAAAAATAATATTATCCACAAGTTTTCTAACAAGAAGATCTCACACAGGTTTTCAAAATAGCCGACTTCCACATACCTTTTAAGGATAGAAAACTTTTCCAGAACTTCCAGAAAATAGAATGCCATCCACAACTCTTTTCTAAATAGAAGGTCTTCCACAGTTTTTCCTAAAATAAAAGACCTTCCACAGGTCTTCTTCAAAAAGAATATCATCCACATGTCTTCTATAAATTCCACATTTTTCTTAACAATCGAATATCAGCCACAGGCTTTCCTAAAAAAGAACTTCAAAATTAGAAGATCTTCCACAGGTCTTTTAAAGATAGAATGCCTTCCACTGGTCTTCAAATTCAGAAGATATTCAAATTCAGAAGATCTTCTACAAAATATAGAAGACCTCACACAGGTCTCTAAATTAGAAGATCATTCACAGGCCTTCTAAAGATAGAAGGTTTTCTCGGAACTTTAAAACCAGAATACCATCCACAAGGCTTTTGTAAATAGAAGATCTTCCACAGGTCTCCTAAAACAAAAGACCTTCCACAGCTCTAAATAGAAGACTTTCCACATGCCTTCTAACAAAAGAATACCATGCACAGGTCTTCTTAAAAAATATCTTCCTCAGGTCTTCAAATTCAGAAGATCTTCCACAGGTTTTCTGCAAAACTGATATCACACGAGTCTTAAAATAGAAGATCTTCCACAGGCATTCTAAAGATAGAAGACTTCCCTAGGAATTTAAAAATAGAATACAATCCACAAGACTTCTGTAAATAGAAGACCTTCCACAGGCCTTCAAAATCACAAGATCTTCCACAGGTCTTCTAAAGATGGAACACCACCTTCCACAGATCTACTAAAGATATAATACCTTCCACAGATCTACTAAAGATATAATACCTTCCACATGTCTTTTAAAGATAGAATACCCTATACAGATCTTCAAATCAGATCACAGGTGTTCTTCATGCACAAGTCTTAGATATAATAACAGATTTCCACAAACCTTCAAAGATTGAAGACCTTGCCAGGACTTCAAAAATATAATACCATACACATGTCTTCTAAAATTGAAGACCTTCCACAGGTCTTCAAAAATAAAAACCTTTTTTGAACACCATCCACATTTCATCTAAAAACAAGGGACCTTTTCTCTGTCTTCTGCAAATAGAATACCATCCACAGTTATAAATAGACCTTCCACAGGTCTTCTAAAACAGAAGATCTTTTACAGATCTTCAAAAATATAAGATCTTCCCCAGGCCTTCTTAAGGTAGATGATTTACCACAGGTCTTCTGCAAATATAACTCCAACATGTCTTCCAAATATAAGCCCTTCCACAGATCATCTAAAAAAGTAGATCTTTCCCAATTCTTCAAATACATGAAGATTCTTCACAGGACTTCTGAAATAGAATATCATCCACAAATCTTTTCAAAATAAAAGAACTTCCACATAACTTCTTAAAATAGAAGATCTACCACAGGTCTTCAAAAATAAAAACCTTTTTTGAATGCCTTCTACATTTCATCTAAAAACAACGGACCTGTCTTCTGCAAATAGAATACCATTCACAGTTATAAATAGACCTTCCACAGGTCTTCTGCAAATATAACTTCAACATGTCTTCAAAATATAAGCCCTTCCATAGATCATCTAAAACAGTAGATCTTTCCCAAGTCTTCAAAAACTTTAAGATCATTCAAAGGACTTATTAAACTGAATATCATTCACAAATCTTTTGAAAATAAAAGAACTTCCACATAACTTCTTAAAATAGGTCACCACAGGTCCTCAAAAAAATCTTTCACGGGTCTTTAAAAATAGAAGACTTTGAACAAGCCGCTCACAGGTGTGTTAAAGAAAGAAAACCTTCCGCAAGTCTTCCACAAATAGAAGACGTCCCACAGGCCTTCCAACGATGGAATGCCACCATGTGGGCTTTTCATTGGCCTTTTATAACCGGTTGACTTCTCACAGGGCTTCCGCAGATAAAAGTCCACATGATCATAAACAAGAGAAAACCACCCATAAGTCTTCTTAAAATAGAGTACCTTTCAGAGGTCTTGTAAAGAATGAAGACCTTTGGCAGGTCATGTATATAAGACCTTTTACAGGGCTTCTACAGATAGAGATTTACTTTATATAGAGCTCTTATCTCCTAGGACTCTCAAACGCCTTTAATGCCGACAGATGTAGAATCGTTACATAGCCAAGTTCCAGCTGAAGCCTTTGTTCAAGGCCTCAAGCCTCGATAACTGGCCATGTTAATTTTGTTTATAACATAACCAAACATAATTAAATTAAGTATTAAAATCCGTTTCCAAAACGGCTGATCAAATCTACTTTAAGGCCGCACTTATTTAATTAACACTTCAAATCGATTCTATCTTGAAACCAACAAACTTAAAACAAGAAAACTAAATTAACAAAAAAAAAACCATAACGAAAATTTAATAAAAACAACAGCAACACCAAATACAATCAAGAGCGAACATCAGCGGCGACCCAACCCCTTGATTATTCGCTGATTTTCATTTTATAATTAACTGTTAATTTTTAATATTTTAAAGAAAAATCATAATTGTTGGTTTTTTGGAGAGCATTTTTGGCCATTCAAAATAATGGCCAAAAACAGCGAACGTCAATACTTAGACGAGGACGACGTCATTGGTGTTGCTGTTGTTGTTGTTGTTATTCTCGATTCAAGGTAATAAAAAAGTCTTGGATTTTCGACATTTAATTTTCTGCTCTAAATCAAAAAAGTTGCGCAATTTTTTGCAATCGATTTTTTTTTCGTTTGAGAGGAAGCAGCAGAGAAGCGGAGAGAGGGAAAAATTGTTAAACTCAATCAATAAAAATAAAAAAGAATTTCGAAAAACAAAAAACTTCAAAACTGAAAGTAAATAGCAATAAATAATGTTATACATTTAACACCTAAAATGCTGGCCCGTAAGCCATAAAAAACAATGGCTTATTCTTCACAGCAACAACAATAGAATTCACAACAATACAACAAATCAGATAAACCCCAGGCTAACCTTCTTTTGTTCTCCTTCTTCTTCTTGCATTTTTTTGTTTTCAGATAAACAAACCGATCAAACGCCAGCCGGCTCTTTTTGGCAATCGCATGTAGTCACACCTTCCTCGTCCACACCCTTTGAGTCACCGTTCTTCTCGGCCACCCATGGCATTGTTCAGACACATCCCTCGCTGAGCGGCAAGCCAGCATCGAGGCCCATTCCCCTGGCGGGCAATAGTTTGGGCACCGGCTCCGTACGTCAGCCGGCCACAGTGAGCGGTAGTGGTTTCCTGAACTCGCGTGGCAGTTTTCCCACAGGTGCCCATTATCCCAATGAACCAGCTCCATCTATTGGCGGCACCGTAGTCAATCCAAATCCCAAATCGCCCTTCAGACATTTAGATTTTGCCACAAGTGCCACCGCAGAATTGAGACGTAATCCAGCTTTGTCGGCTCCGGATGAGTGCGCCCGTGCCTGTCGTGAAGGTGAACCACCAAGGATCTGCTACTATCATTTCACACTGGAATACTACACGGTTTTGGGAGCGTAAGTATTGAAAGTTATTTGGATATTAAGAAAATATATTAGAATTAAAAATTGGGTAGAAATTTTAGAATTACGTTGTTCTGTAAAAGTCTTTGTCGATAATCTTTTTTGACAAATACTAATCAAATATCGATAACAGAATTTTCCTTTAAATATCTGTTCCACAACTGCAAAAACATAAAAAAATGAAAAAAGAAGATTCTTGCTAGAACAGAGCAATTAATGAAAGGATCTTCTACAGAAAGTAGATATTCCATATTTTTCGATATTCCATATTTCGATATTCCATATTTCGATATTCCATAAGAAATCTTCTACCTCTTATAAAAAAAATTATCGACTCGATTTCCTAACGAAAATGCTGTTATCGGAATTAAATAATAATAAACCATTCATTATCGACGTTATTTTCTATAACAAAGGAGTTTTTATAAAAGATTTTGTTATCGATTTTTGTTATTTAAAAAATCATATTATCGATAAAGCCGTTTATAGAAAATATTGTAAATATTGAAAATCAATGATATTTACTATTAAAAATCTAGATATCTACTATATCTCCTATAGCAAATCTTGTCATCGATCAAATTTTTTTTTGCTATCGATATTATCTAAAAACAATTTTTATCGATATTTTTTATAGAAAAGTATGTGTTCGATTATGTTTTCTACAAGAGATCATGTTATCGATAAAATTCAGTTATCAAAAATCGTATTATCGGTAGCATTTTCTATAAAAACCCTTCTTACGGGTAATATTTCCTGCAGAAAATCCTGTTATCGACAATATTTTCTATAGGAAATCTTGTTATCGACAATATTTTCCATTAAAAATCTTGTTATCGACAATATTTTCCATAAAAAAAATCTTGTTATCGACAATATTTTCCATAAAAAATCTTGTTATTGACAATATTTTCTATAGGAAATCTTGTTATCGACAATATTTTCTATAGAAAATCCTGTTATCGACAATATTTTCTATGGAAAAATATTGTTATCGACAATATTTTCTATGGAAAAATCTTGTTATCGACAATATTTTCTATGGAAAAATCTTGTTATCGGCAATATTTTCTATAGAAAATCCTGTTATCGGCAATATTTTCTATAGAAAATCCTGTTATCGGCAATATTTTCTATAGAAAATCCTTGTTATCGACAATATTTTCTATAGAAAATCCTTGTTATCGACAATATTTTCTATAGAAAATCTTGTTATCGACAATATTTTCTATAGAGAATCTTGTTATCGATCATATTTTCTATAGAAAATCCTGTTATCGATCATATTTTCTGTAGAAAATCCTGTTATCGACGATATTTTCTATGGAAAAATCTTGTTATCGACAATATTTTCTATAGAAAATTCTGTTATCGACAATATTTTCTATAGAAAATCCTGTTATCGACAATATTTTCTATAACAAGAATCTTGTTATCGGTAATATTTTCTATAGAAAATCTTGTTATCGGGAATATTTTCTATAAAATCTTGTTATCGACAAAATTTTCTATAAAAAATCGTGTTATCGACAATATTTTCTATAAGAAATCTTGTTATCGACAATATTTTCTATAAAATCTTGTTATCGACAATATTTTCTATAAAAAATCTTGTTATCGACAATATTTTCTATAGAAAATCTTGTTATCGATGATATTTTCTATAGAAAATCTTGTTATCGACAATATTTTCTATAGAAAATTTTTTTATCGATAATATTTGCTATAGCAAATGTTATTTTCGGTTATATGTTCTATAGAAAATCTTGTTATCGACAATATTTCCTCAAGACAATCTTGTTATCGGTAATATTTTCTATAGAAACTCCTGTTGTCGACATGATTTTCTATTGAAAATTTTGTAATCGACAATCATTTTATCGACAATATTGTCTGTAGATAATTTTGTTATCGGTTATAATTTCTTAATAAAATGTTGTTATCGTTAATATTTCCTAAAGAAAATCTTGTTATCGACAATATTTACCATAAAAAATATTGGTCTTGGCAACGATCAAATCTTGTGATCGATAACACCATTGAATATAAAATACTGGCAAATATAAATTTTGCTATCGACAAACTATTTTATGAAAACTGGGTTGTTTTTCTGCTGAAAATATTTTTATCGATAATATTTGTTATAGAAAATATGATCATCCACAAAATTTTCAATTGAAAATCTTTCTGTTTATTATTTTTTTTTTATTGCCTCCCACAATTGAAATTTTTTCGTACAAACACAAAAACATTAATGAACCCTCATAATAAAGATATTATAACACCTGCATAACAGACTGCACTTCCCTAAATGATTTGTACAAATTGCGTTAATAATTATTAACAATTTTAATTAACAAAAAAATAACAATAATAAAATAACAAATATTATTTTATTGTTATCGAAACCCCACAATACATTTCCTTCAATAATTTCCTTCAATAAAATAATAACTATGGCTAATATTTGATTAAAACCATAAACGTCTTAACAAATATCGGTAGGCTAGCCTACACGCCCATCTTAGCTGGCAGTCACTCAGTTTTCCTCACATTTATTTTTTGTTGTGGCGCTATACGGACTTTCACGCACCACAAGAGTTCGAAAAACAGAAAGACTTTTATTGGCTTGGTTAATGTTTTTATTTTTTTTATTTTTTAAAATATTACTAATTCAAAAATGCAATGCTCCGTTGTTGTGTTTTCCTTCCAATTCAAAGGTTGGGAAATATATTTTCATAGCTGCAAATAATGCAAAGAAATAAAAAATACATTGCACTTTATTGCATCAAACCAACAATAAATTACCAATTTTATTTTCTCGATTTTTTTTTGTATTGTGGTTAAATTTCCATTTTTTGTCTTTTTTCAACAAAGAAAAAAAAATCAATTAAAAAATTTTACATAAAAATATTAATTTTCTCCACGGCTGCAGTATCAAAGTAATTATGTATGTAACTGCCTCTCCGACTGAGGTTTTTCACTTTGCTTATTCGTTGACGACATTATTAATTGCTTAATTATGTTTTTAGTGTAAACGCTGTGTAAACATTACATATTTAATAATTATTTATAATTTTTCATCATCGACTTTCTTGTTGGTGTGTGACAATATTTTAGCCGTTCAAAAGACATGGAGTTGGTCTTTCTCTTCTTGGCGACAAAGGCAAACAAACGAACGAAAGACTTAAGCAACAAACCTGTACGAGTTGATTGAACGTCATAATATAAGAGGCCAGCGAAACTGTTATCGTAATTGCCCGATAAAGTTGTCAAATGGTGAAAAATTGTTGGGTCTAACACACTAATTGCTATTGCGTGTGGTGGGAAATGTGATCTATTTTCTTGTGAAAACTATCGATCAATGACATAATTTCAATATGGGCAGGCAGCGTGAATTTTATGTTAGACATAAAACACGATTTTTTTTATTGTTATCGATAATATCTGTTACAGAAAGTCCTCTATTTTCATGTAGTGGAAATTATTTCTTTTTCTATTAAAAAATATAAATTCTTGCCTCCAAACCCCTCCATCACCCCCACCACACATAATTATGAAATAACTGTCTATCCGACATTTCAACCTCAATTCGATGTCAAAAATAGCCTCCATTAAACATAATCGATCTTCATTTACATATTATCCGTACGATAGCCTCAGGAATCGAAATGTCCAAAATCATTTCCTATAAATATGTTACAAATCGAAAAAAAATCTCAAATCAAATTGCTGTCAATCAAAAACCAATTTCAAATCGTCTGTGGTTTCGATTGAAATCAAAAAATATAAAGAAAAAACAAAATTCGTTAAATAACTGATGATTGAATCGAATCTGACAGTTTGATTATGCGGTAAACGCTTCTAAATGAAATTCTCAAATCCGTTCAAATCGCTGAACATTAATAATATTTATCAGCGAAAATTTATCACAGCTATTATGGCCAAAATCATATCAATCATGAAGACCATTAATAAAACAAAAATCGCAGGGAAGGGGAAAAGGTGATGCTTATGTAACCGCTAAAAGATGACTAAGCTGTGTCAAAAATAACTTTTATTTTTTCTGGATAATTATCAAATATTAAACAGCCTATTGCGAATGTCTGCTAAGGCTGAGGGTAATTATTTCGCGTGTTATGTGTCCTAAGGTGAAACTTTATGAGTCAAAATCATTTCAAGAGTGTTGTTAACAAGGTTTAATTAGGGGTAATCAGGGGTCTATAATTCGATTTTTTTAAGCTCAACGAGATGATGAAAAAATTTTCTAGAGAAAGTCATACCGATAACAAGATTTGAAACAGGAATCGACAAACAATTTTGTGAAAAATGATGCCAATTACTGAAACTTTTTTATTGAAAACAGATCCGATAAAAAAAATACCCCCTGGTAAACATTACCATCGTTCTCCACTAATAAACAAAGGATGTTTTTATAAAAACAACAATAAAGGGACAAAACCTGACCATTTTGCAACAACAAAATATTTTCGATTACCGGATTTCCTATAGAAAATATGATCGATAACAAGATATTATATAGAAAATATAATCGATAAGATTTTCTATAGAAAGTATAACCAGATTTCCTATGGAAAGTATTATCGATAAGATTTTCTATAGAAAACATTATCGATAACAAGATTCTATAGAAAATATTATCAACATCCAATTGCTTTGTGAAATATATATTATCGACAAGAAGGTTTCCTATGGAAAATATTATCGATAACATGATTTTCTAGAGAAAATATCCTCGATAACAAGATTTTCTAGAGAAAATATTCTCGATAACACGATTTTCTTTAGTAAATACAGTCGATAACAGGATTTACCATAGAAAATATTATCGATAACAATATTTTCTATAGAAAATATTATCGATAACAATATTTTCTATAGAAAATATTATCGATAACAATATTTTCTATAGAAAATATTATCGATAACAATATGTTCTATAGAAAATATTATCGATAACAATATTTTCTATA